GCCCCTCTACTCAGCCCTGCTGAGGCCACATCTGGAGTATTTTGTCCAGTTCTGGGCTCCACAGGACAAGCGGGATGTGGAGCTGCTGGAGAGAGTCCAGCGCAGGGCCACAAGGCTGATCAGGGGCCTGGAACATCTGCCCTATGAGGAGAGGCTGAGGGAGCGGGCCTGTTCAGCCTGGAGAAGAGAAGGCTGAGAGGGGACCTGAGCAGTGTCTAGAAGTACCTCAAGGGAGGCAGTGAGGAGGATGGTGCTGGCCTCTTTTCAGTGGTGGCCACCGACAGAACTAGAGGTAATCACGCCACAAACTGAAGCACCAAAAGTTCCACAGGAACTTAAGGGAAAATTTCTTCCCAGTGAGGGTGCCAGAGCACTGGAACAGGCTGCCCAGAGATGTTGTGGAGTCTCCTTCTCTGGAGATCTTCAAAACCCGCTTGGACGCAGTCCTGTGCCATGTGCTGTAGGTGACCCTGCGTGTGCAGGGGGTTGGACTAGATGATCTCTAGAGGTCCCTTCCAACCTTAAGCGTTCTATGATTCTAAGAATCTTTTAGAAGTTTTCTTCTTCATTGACACAGAGAAAGACAAATTGAAACTGTGCTTGAGGAATCATGTCTGAAGTGAAAAACTAAAGTTTATGTAAGCCTGGTGTGACCTTGGACATGAACTTAACATGAACTTCAAATTGTGTAATATAGCTGGCGATCAGAAAGAAGAAATACCCTCAGGATTCCATACTTTTATGATGCTCTGTGAGCAAATCTGAACCAGAGATTTTGCTACCTTATGCAGAACCATTTCATTTGAACAATGGATTTGTTGTTCTTATTTTTAGAAGAAGGGAGATAGATTTAGGAACAGGACTAGACTTTGAAATGTTACTCAAAAGACTAGAGTTTCCAATAATGTTCTTACTGATGGCTGCAAATTCTTGGAAAAAGCACACATATAAAAGTGTTTGCTTTGACAGAAGCTTAATTTGACTATATGAGATACAAAACTCTGCCTTAGATTTAGCAGAAGAATATTTAGAAGTCATGGTCAGATACATAGCCGAGTATTTCTGTATAAATGAGAGCGCCATGTTATGTTTCTTTAGTATAAGGGAATTAAATTTAGTAGAAGATACTACTAATAGATCAAAAACTTATCTTTGCTTTCAGTGAGATTTGGCATTCACTTTAAGCCTTTTACCAATGTGTTGTTTTCAATGGAAGATCTTTCAGTGTCAGAAGGAGATTCTTCCAGAATGAAAATGCTCAATGAGAGATGGTTAATGCCTGCCTATTTATTATAGGGTTTGTTAGCTGACTGTTGATTAGGGCAGTGTACCTGTTGGGTTTATCTTCAGAGCAGTGTCTCCCGTCTTTGGAAATGGGGTTTTTATAAGTACAAATCTCCTTTCTAACCCCTAAAGAATAGGTTTGATTTTTTTTTCCAGGAAATCTGTTTACTTTATAAGGCTAAGAGAAGAGAATGCGGCTGTCTATAATTCCCAAATATTTTCAATAGACTTAAAATAGGAGGAAAATTAGTTTGCCTGTCCCATTGAGAATGAAGAAAAATGTTTCTTTTGTTCTAAAATTATTGTAGTACTTAATGCTATGAGACAACTGTAGAAGATGCACTGTTTCCATGCAGTGTGAAATATCCAACGGTGAATTTCAGGGTAGCAAAAGAAAAAAGATAAGAAAATAATAGAAAATTATGATGATGTTGGCTACACCTTGAAATGTCACTGAATGAACATTGTTACAGCTGTTAGTAGAGGCAACCACTAAAATTTCTGTTAATTTCAATAGTGTGCTACAATTATTTTTCAGTTTCCCAAATTTAATTAATGCTGTGCTAATCTTATGACTCTTACTTTCTACCTTTTTGAAAGCAGGGTCCTCGGGAAGCTGTTATTTGGCTTGCTGTACACCATAAACAAAAAGAGGCTTTAGAAATCTTCTCCAAAGAGATTGCACCAGCTGGAACAGGAATGGGTAAATACTCGCATATTGTATATATCTTAGTTTAATATATGTATACACACGTATATGTATGTATGTCTTAGTTATAACCTTGCATTTGAAATATTTTAATGGCTAATGAATAAGGGCCATCTATCATGGTATTATCTCTGCTTCTTTAGTTTCCCTTCTCTTTGCTTTATATATATAGATAGATAGATATATAAAAGCAAACAACAACAGCAAAAAAAAAAAACAAAAACAGTTCTTTGTAAATTCCATTGTAAATTCCATTCTCTTAACTTTTTAGAAAGACTTACTCCTTGGCTACTTTGAAAAAGCTGTTCTTTTTTTTTCTCTTTTTTTTTTTTTTTTTTTTTTTCTACTCCCAAGTGCCATTTATCTGTTACCACCTAGTTTAAGCAGCACATTCAGATCTTGTGATTTGGCTGATGCCACTGTGGACACTCACCTTTTTATTTATTTATTTATTAATCCATTTAAAACTTGAACAGTTAATTTTTGAGGATACAGATAGGAGCTACTGCTAAATATCTAAGCTAACTTATGGAAGAATATATTGAGAAATTACAGGATCTGCCAAAAAAAAAGTTACGTGAGCTTAACTTAAACCTATTAACTTATAGCAAAGCCAGAATCGTGGTTAATGGGATTTTTATTTTTTTTAAGTCTCTTTTGCCTTAAAGGACTTAGTGAACCTTTTATTTTCAGTGGATTTAAAACTGTATGCAAGTATGCATGTTCTGTCTTTATGGTGGTAACTGAGATATGGTTAATGTAGTAGGGTTTTTTTCAAGTTGTGTTTATAGCAACAGGGTCAACAAATGGCCATCTCTTTATCTTACTTTTTCCTTCTACCAGATAGAACACAATAATGCAAAACTAATTAGGTATATTCATAGACACAATTTAAAAAATAATTTGCAATTACAAAGGTTAGTTAATAGATCAACATTTACTGTAAATGTAAACTGCTTCCCAAAAATGTTTTTTCTAATAAATGAAAGATGGTGTTTCACAATAGGAGTTTCTCCTTTTTCATTTTTCCTGCAGATATACTTAAAACTAAAGACCTATACTTATTCATTATTATATATGTGTTTGTATCTGTGAAAAATCTGCACTACCTGGAATGGGTGGAGTATCAATGTACAGTATCAAAATCAAGGTTCCTGTAGTATGAAACTATCTGTGTTTCCATGTGGCTGGCAAACTTCGAGACAGCTCTTGTTCCCAGAGCTCCGGGAGAAGAGCCAGGGGTGTTTATGTTCAGAATCAGGTAGAAGTTTAGGCAGCTGGGTTGAATGATTGTTGAGGCATTGGTTTTGCTTTATAAAGGAATTGTGTGAACTTTCTAGAACATCCTGTAGCACTTATTCACTAAAAGTCTACTTCACTCGATAGAACTCTTCAATTGCTTGCCAGGTTCAGGACTACAAGATTTTTTGGCCTCAATGTAAGTTACCAGTGTCAGAGTAACTGAGACTACTTATTGACTGGCTTCCTAGGGCTTGAATAGACCCCTAAATGGGCAGTCTGACTAGGCCCTGTTTTCTGTGACGATTATTAAAACTGCTTTTTTTGCAGTCACATGTGGTTGTTGTTGCATGATTAGATTTCCATAGTACCTGCACAGATAAATCCCATGTATGCAGGAAGGAGCCTGATTTGGGATCTTAAATACTTAGTAGGATGCGTATTGATCTGATATTCCTTCATGGTGATGGTTTTCAGGCTGCCAGCCCCCACTGCTAAGTCTCGCTATGGAAAATAACCAGTTCAACACTGTTGACCAGTAACGAGCAGTGCATTTATATCTGAGAGGGCTTAAAACTTTTTTTTTTCTGCCTGTGGTGTTGGCTGAGCAACTTGATGTGAAGAGCAGAGCTAGGAATGGCTGCTGCTGCTGAACTGTTTTAAAACAAACTGTTCTGTAGATAGCACTGCATGGCTCTCCTGTGTTGGGTATCTTCTACAACAGGAGAGGTAGTGACTATGGGAGTGATTGCAAACAAACTTTTTTTGTATATTCTTTAATGAAAAATTGAGGAAACGTAGGAAGAAAGAATCCTTCAAAACCAGCAGCAGTGAGAAAAGAGGAATTATTAATCTGCAAGGTGATGTCACTTGAATTGAAACACTTAATTCCATTATATCTTGAATGTTTTGAGAGTGAATTTTAGGAAACAACATTCATTTGGTTTGTAACAGTCAAAAATAAAAATCCAGACAAGTTCTTCCATTTAATTTCACTCTGTCTAGTGATTCTAGAATAGTGATTGTAGCTGTAATTTTTCACATCAATAGCAATTTGGTGTCTGTTACTTTAGTGTGTAGACAGTCAATAATTGTCAAATGTAGCACCCTTCATCCCAGAATGGAAAGTTGTGTAGATGTGAACTAACTAAGCTTCACAATGTTTAGAAATATTGGAAAGTATTATCTCCGCCTTAGAGATGTTTTCCTGAGATATCGGAAGGAGGAATGACCTGAAAAGAATTTCAGACAGAATTCTACACTCTGCTTTCTCTGTAATAAATGCTGGAGGGAGGTCGTAATTGCTCCTGCTCTGATCCTTGGGACTTATCTGTACTCAGATTTATTAGAGGGTAGGCAGCAGTAAGCCCAGGCTCTTGGGTTTGTGTGTGTTTACCAGCTGCATCTCCTGTGACAGAATCCAGAAGCACCGTCACTCTGGGAGTGACCTGGAAGTGTTCAGGTTCATTCAATCTGCTAGTCGGACTTGCCACCCTGAGCTAGACCTGGTTTTAGTTTGGTAGCACTATCAGAGTATGAGAGCTATCTGTAATTAAGGTATTCCTATAATTGTCAGCAGTAAAAAAAACAGTTTTGCTGGCTTTTGTTTTAAGCTTAGCCAAAATAATTTAATATTTTTCTGAGCTGATGAATTTTTGAGGGAGCTCTAAATTATGTTTTTTCAGGATATGCAAGAAACAATAGTGAAACAATGATGCAAAGAAAAGGGGAATCTATAACAGTTTTGTTGAAAAGTAATCATCATAATGTTTCCCAGCTGAGCTTTAACATTTGGGGTGCTGTGTCTTGCATGTCAGAAATGTGCTTTTACCTGTGCTGGTGAACCTCAAGTCTTCACATCTATATTTCTTAACTTCTGACAGATTTTGCAGATTTGATTATTAAACATTTTTAGATATGATAGATGGTTTTATGTAGGAGCAGTAGTTTTTATAAAAGGAAAGCGCTGTAGAATCTGTGCCTCCATGTCAGAAGGGAAAGATGAAGGAGTCTTATGTGTGTGCCCTGCAAAAAATAAAAGACGTTAAATCCGCAAGAGAAATTTGGGAGAGGCACCTCTTTAAAAAATGTGAACTTCTATAATCAAGAATAAATTATTAGAATTTTTATAGTTATTTCCGTTTTTTTTTTTCTCATGTTGTTTTTAATTGCCATTGTTTTTGAGAAGACCTTTGAGGCACAGGAGCATACAGTAATGCTCTGAAGTACAAATCTCAGTTGCAAGCTTGCAAGAGAGATTCTTAAGCCCAGAGAAGAGTTTGAAGTTACTGTGTACATAGACGTGCCAAACATGAGAGTGATTTGTTGTTTATTTTCTGTGTTTGGAATGGAACACTTTTAATTGTAAACTTCTGTTGAGTATGATATTTAATCAGTTTTCATTTGGAGCCTGCTATTATGACAGGATTTAAGGGGGATACAAGCTCTTAGAAAAACACAAACCAATCTTTTTTTTTTTTTTAATTTTACAATTAATACCTGAGTTAAATAAACCTCCAGATAGTAAAATCACACTTTTTTTTTGCTTAGTTTTATTTCTCTATACCTAGAGAGTAGATCATAAGCTCAGAAAAGAAGGATTTACATGTGTCTGTAATGTTTAGCATTAACAGAAGATTTTTTTAGAGCTTTCCTTGCTCTCCAGAGGAAGCTTTTGTGTACTTTGCTAAGATCGCAGTGAGAATTAAGACACCGGAATGCCTGGGGAAGCCCAGCAGTGAAGAACCCTAGGCTCATGAACTCAGATTTTTAAGTCTGTCGAAGCCTGCGGGGGTTTGGGTCAGTTCTGCATCGTACAGTCCAAGAAGATTCGTCCTTGCTTCATTAAAGCAAAAGTTCCCCATCCCATCTAACTTTTCCTTAAATTCAAGTATTTTATTCAGAACAAAATCCAATGTGAAAATGGTTCAGGAAGAGCCTTGCTGAGGGAATTTGGCATTTTCAGTTTATTAGGGCTTCAGTAGCTAAGAAATACTTCACTAATAGCTGAAATAATGTGCTGACCCTTATTTCACATTAAAATGACCGGAGTTTGACACTAAGATGACAGCTGGTTAATACAACTTGATATTTTAAAGTGCTTGAGTATATGTAAATATTATGACTGATCTCATAAGTGTGTTGGAAGATACTTCGAGAAATGTCCTGGTTTTAACAATTTACTGCAGTTCCCTGTTTTTTGTTGGAGAATAATACTTCAGAAAATGTTTTATCTGCTGTGTTCAAAGGACATGGATAGAATAATGAAGGACATATAATTGACCCCCATAAACAATGATTGAATATATTTTATATTTTTACTCAACACTACTGTAAGTGCCGTTGACTGTAAAATTCTGGATTTCAGATTCCTCTATCACCTAACATAATTCTTGGAAATTAGATTTTTTGACTGTTATAAAAATGCACATATATATATCTTAAAATATGGAATAAATATATTTATAACCTTTGGTTGAGTTTATTCAGTCCATGGAAATAGAGGGACAAATGATTTAGGACCAAAAAAATGCAAGTCAGCAAATGAGACGTGATTATGTTTTGTAACAAGTTACAGAGAAAGATGTGTCACTTGTTGAATTTAAACTATACAAAGATTTTTAGCTCTTTGGTTTTGACTAGTCAGAGCATTCTGACTCTTTTTTAACTCCTAGAACATTTTGTGAAACAAGCTTCTCATGATCTGTCATATGTATATCTATGTACATAGATTTGCACAAAACGTTTTAAAAATTTGGAGAGGATAAAAGTAGGTTAACAGATAATTAGTACTAAGCCAGAATTAGATCTAGCTGTTAAAGTACCGCTTGAATAGGGTAGAGGAACTGTTGAGGAGACAAAATATAAGGTTTTCCCACCAGTAAGTCTCCAGCGAGCCGTTCTGAGAGCTGCTATTAATGAAGCTTGTTTCAACGCAGATTTACATCTCACAGGTTGATTGCAACTTTCCACAGAAGCTTTTCCTGCCATGAGGTATTTTACAGGTTATAAGAGATGGCATAAATAATCTGTTTGCAATATGTATTAACACATGGCAATTACACATACTTAAATAGGTGCTCCTTGGTGCCGACTTTAAACATTCTTTTCCATGGGACTGATTTTCAGCAAAACCACTCTGAGATGTTTGTTTGAACACCAGAGTTGGGACAAGGGAGGAGAGAAGAATGTGTGACAAGGCATGAGGAGGGGCAGGCTCTGCCTGCCCTTGTGTAAAATGACACGAACTATCATATATTTTTCCAATAAAGCCTGGTGCTGTTTACTTTGTTTGCTACCAGTGTTCTTGAAAACGTGTTGGAAACGTGCTCTCTTTAACAAAAGGATGATATAGGAGCTTTGAAAGTGTTGGTATTTGCAAACAAGTCCTCAGATAAGTTTCATACAATAAGGAAATAAAAAGATTGAGATGCAAGGGACATCTTGGGAAAGAGAAAAGATATATGAGATCACGTAGAGGACTCTGTGGAACTAGAGTGTCAAGAAGTATCACTTGAGCGGATTTCACTTTGTATTATCTACAAGCACACCTGTCACCACAGCCATGCTCCATCAGGGACTGTGGGTGCTGATGTGCTTTGCTTGAACCACCACATGGTTGTTCTTGAGACTCTTCTCTCCTTCAGCTTTGACTGACACTTGCTATTGGGCCCACAATGTAGCTTGTAGCTGGGCTGGAAGAATCATAGAAGGGAAAAAGCTGCAGATATAAATGTATTGACAAACACGTATGGTGAGTATGAAGCCTTGTTTTTTCCTTAAAGGAGAGTGAAAATAAAGACTGAAAGTAGGCAAGAGGGAGAAATCATGCAGTGAAAAGGTAGTGCAAGGCTGTAGGAAGAATTGTACAGATTAAGGAAAGAGAAGCATTTGCTAAGAAATAGTTCTCTGTACATTTAGTATATATTCAAACCTCTTTAAGTGCTCATTCTCAAAGGAAGGATTGTAAAAGAGTGTCTAGTGACCTAGACAGTAGTAAATTAGAGCAGTGCTGCGGGCCTGCAGGTATCACTGATTTTAGTGGACTTGGTACCTGCTGTACCTCCTCTCATAGCTTTTATTTGGGAGTTAATGAAACTAATGGCATTTAAATGGCATAATCCCAGTATTGACCCTCAGCTTTTAAGTACACAGCTACATAGAAGAATTAGCGCCAGGCATTGTAAGAGAAAACGTTCTAGAAAACAGAATGCTATTGAATTTGACCCTTGAGGCAAAATAAGTGTGGTGATACTTGATATGATGATTACACCAGACAAATTCTATAAGTAAAGCTGCTCCTGAACGGAGCGTTGACAGACGGAAACGAAGGGCTCTGTTTTGTCAACTGCACACAGGCATTCAGCTCCACGTGGTGCACCAGTGTGGTGCTATTCTGAGGTAGCAGAAGTTGCTGCCTACCAGTGAGGAGTTCTGGCCTGCTGCAAGTGAAAGGACATTTTCAGAAGGTTCATGCAGCAGACAGGGTGACACCATGGTTAATGGCACTTTCTTTGTCAGATGCGATGGATGAATGCACAGAGTTCTAGAGGCTAGGGGAATTTTGCTGCATGCAAAATTTCTGGGTAATGAGATCAGTGGCTTCAAGATAGCTGATAATCTTTCTCGATGCTGATTTAGACTGTCTGCAAGTCCAATGAATGAGTTATGCCACATGTCATTGTAGGCAAAGATAAGTTGTCTTCCAGAAAGGCCTGGGGGGCATCTGCACAGAAATTAAGCAACATAAAGTGAGCATGAAGTACAACATGAGTTGTCTTCCTTGTTTGAAAGCATCTTGGGACAGCAGTTGCTGTCAGGAGAGCACTGTTAATTTTGTGAAATTCTCTTGCTGGTGGCAAATCTGCTGTTACCTGCTTGTACTTCACCTTCCTTTGTCTTCTCCCAGCTTTACCTGAGAAATGCAGTGGGGATCTGAGCTGTGGGAGGTGAAGTCTGCAGAAATAACAAATCATCAAGCATAAACCAAAATTGATTTAAGATTTGGTTCTTCCTCCATGGTATAAATCTAGGTAGGAGTTACATACATTAAAGAAAATTAGATTGTCCATATATGTGCTCCTGAGTAGGAGGAACTGGGATATTGTCGTAGTTTTGCTCTGCAATTGCATTTATTTGTAGGGGTATCTGGACTATTTCCAGAGACTGAGGTGCTGTTACTGAGGATTGCACTGGTGAACTTTGCAAGATAGTAATAGCAAATAGCAGTAAAAGGTGTTGATTGTACCCTCATGGTGTGAGCACTATTGTTGCTCTTTAGTTATTTTCTTATTAGTGTTTAGAGAACTGCTTTGTTTTAGGAGCCAAGCGCCATTGTATGAGAGCAGGCGAGTGAAGAGCTTTCTTTCAGGAAGCTGAAATTGATTTTGGAGCGAAATCTGGT